TGCAGCTGCACTGCTGTAAGATCTCCTGTGTAGCCACTCTATGCCTGCGGGAGACGAAAAGTTGTTGAGTCCAGGAACTTAGCAAGATTTAAAAATCTTGCGTGAATATCGAGAGTTATCATAATGAATTTTGGAAGCGATATTTAACCTCGTGCTTCATGGCATAAGCCAGTCTCTAACTATTGGAGATCAGGATGACAACTAATGTTAGAGATAGATCACTAAGGCCAGGTCTACACTACCGCGGTAGTTCGACGGCTGGCAATCGAACTTCCGGGTTCGATTTATCGCGTCTGGTCTGGACGCGATAAGTCAAACCAGGAAGTGCTCGCCGTCGACTGCGGTACTCCACCTCAGCGAGAGGAGTACCACGGAGTCGACGGGGGAGCCTGCCTGCCGCGTGTGGACCGCGTCTGAACCGCGGTAAATTCGAACTAAGGTATGTCGACTTCAGCTACGTTATTCACGTAGCTGAAGTTGCGTACCTTAAATCGAATTGGGGTGTTAGTGTAGACCAGGCCTAAGGGTTTCTTATACCTTTATCTGAAGCCTCTGGAGACACAATAATGGACTACATGGACTGATCCAGTGTGGTAATTCCTGTGTTCCCACCCTACCTTCCTATCTCCTGACTTATTGCCAAATTTTCCCATACAAAGCCATGCCTCAGATTGTCTAATAAAGGGCATGGGGCTAGCAGCCATGTCAGTGTATTTTCTCCTTCCTTCCCTGATACTTGGAGGAGAGATTACTAGCAACGAGCCATTTCTTCTATATCTATGGAGGTAGGAAGAGCTGTCATTTTTTTGTTTTTGTGTAAAAAAAAACAAAAAAAAAAAACAACCCTAATATTTTAACACCTTGGGCTTGATTATCAGTGAGACCTCAAATTAGCCTCCATGTATGTACAAGTGCACACATTTTTACTGCACTCTTTCCTGTTCACTTGCAAAGGCAGAATGTTAATGCACCAAAAGTGCATGTGCGGGTACTTGAAAATGGAATCTAGTCTCTGAAAATTAGGATCGAGTCTCTCTCTATTGTGCAGTATTGAAATATACTATAAATATGTGGAATACTAGAAAGCAGTCTCATTTTTATGTATTATAAGCTAATAAGTAGAAATCTAGGTCACTTCTTGAAAGCCAGCCTGCTGGAAAGATATTTGCTTTGTTAGAAAGTGTAGATTTCTGACTCTTTAGATTGTCTAGAATGACAGGGAGATGGTGGTGGAGGTTAGCAGATACTTCAGGAACAATTCTCTTCATCAGCTGAGCTGTATTTGCTGCTTTAGTAATTGAAAAAGTAAAGAGCTCGGTTTTTAATTTACCAATAAAGATTTTATTTTGACCATACAGTTTTTCAAAAATTGATTTGTTTTGTTTAATTCTGAAAAATAATGTGATTCTTAAATATATCCAGTTTTAATAAGCTTGTTCCTTCATTATTTCAGACAAGCTCGACTTGCAAATAGCTCAAAGCACTCTAAATGTCATTTGTTTTAATTAAACAATAGACTTTTTTTTTTAACACCCTGATCCAATTTTCTCTTTTGCTTGATCTAAGGCCTTGTCAACACTGGATTTTTTTGCACTGAGATATCTACATCAATGTAGCTACACTAATGCAAACCCCTTGTGCAGAAGACACACATCGTTATAGAGTCTAACAGTTCAATAGATTGCTTCTAACCATGATCGATAACGTTCTAATAACACTTTCTCTTGAAGTGCTTATTACTATCTATAAAACCAATGAATCATGTCTGCAACATGCTTAAACGTCTATTAATCATTTATTAACCTTTAATAACTATATATGTGCCATCTAATATACAGTGTGACCAAAAGGTACTTGTAATGGTGCAGCTCACTCCAGTTTCACACCAAGTTAAACCACACTAGTGAAAATAACTTTTTACCCAGGAGCAGTACCCACCTCCCACAGCTGTTTGGTGGCACCCCCAATTAGCTGATATGTGGTGCTGCCAAAGAGCTGATCGGGGCGTTGCCAACGAGCTGATAGGGGGCTCAGGGAAGGGACTGTGGGAGGGCAGAGAGCGGCGGGAAGGCGGGGGCCTGGGAGGGGGGGGAGGGGGGGGGGGAAGAGGCAGAGTGAAGGGGGGGCTTTGGGGAAGGAACAGAGTGGGGTGGGGCCGCAGGGTGGAGCGGGAGGTGGAGCACCCCTGGGCAAAAGTAAAAGTCGGCACCTATGGTCCCAATCCACCCCCCCCAACACACAAATATGTAGTCAAGAATCTAGATATATCTAGTGATACTGTTTTTGCCAGATAAAATGTTCTAAATCTAAGTGAACATCTTAGAAATCTGAATCTACATAAATTTGTTTAATATATGCTTTCTCCTTCCCTTTAACATCCTCTTATTACATTCCCCTCTGTATATCTTTCTACAAATTAATAAAAGTTATTTTTCTCTTTCCAATTTTTGTTGACATTTTTTCTGATCCTAATTTTGTTTTTAGACTACATCTGTCTGTCCACTAGTATTTTGGGCTCTGTTCATCAGCTCTGTAAAGGGTTACATAAGGATTTAAATGCAAGGGATTTGTAAATAATACGGAAATATCATTTGCATACTGGTGTAGTTCATTGTGTTTATTACTGTGTTCTAAATCCCCTAATTAGAGTTGCGGTGAGGAGGGTATGCAGACAGGAAAAGAGGTCTGGGTTATGTAAATAGGGGCAGCAGTAGTGAACGGGAAACTAACCCAAATGTCCGAATTAAAGCATCTTTGCCACCCATTTTCACCCTTGTATGTGAATATTTTTGGACTGATGCAGTATCTAGACTAGCTCAGATACGCCAGGTTACACTGCAACCCTGCTCTCGCAACAGCCATTATACAAGCGTGATATAGGGTAATATTTTTTTCTCACAATAAGGTGGAAACTAAAGTTGATTAGGAAATTATTTTTGTCTTCCACAAAAAAAGGTGAATGAAATGTTCATTGTTTAGTTTTCATTATTATTTTTCTTTGTAAGGTTGGTTTTTGAAGGGGTGGGGATAAGGTGCTGTTGAGATGCTGAAAAACCAAAACCAAAACCAAAAATAATTGGTTTAAAACCTATTTTTCTTTGGTTGCCAAAAAAAAGTTTTTTATTTTAAGTTTTTCACTGAACATTTGAAAATTTTCAACGAAAACTGACATTTTTCCATGAAAATTTCAATTTTTGCTAAAAAAAACCTCCTCCTTTTCCAGGAGTGGGGGTGAGGGAAATTGACAACATTTTTAACCAGTTCTATTAGCAACACACCCGGCCCTACAAAACAGGGCCAGCAGTGATCCTTCAGTTCCTTCCTCTCCCTCCCCTTTCCTATCGCTCCAAGGATGCCAGGTGTCTACTGTGGTTGACCAGTGTCGTCGTCCTATATCCTCTGGCTGCATAAACGTACATATGCATCTTTCCGCAGCCCTCAGAGTGACACTCTCCTTGCATGGCTGTGACACATTTGCCACAGTGGAAGGGTACCTTAACTGTATCTTCACTGTGCGGGTACATTAACCAAATCAGGTCCCAGCCAGACTGCCTCTGGCGTATTACACTGCCAGTGAGCACCACGCACGCTATGTGGCTGAGAGCGTCTGCCACAGCAATAAATGAGCTCCTGTCTGAATAGGTGAGTATTATTGTTTAAAATTGAGAGTAGACCCTGAGTAAAGCTAAATGATAAAATTAGTACTGGGGATGCATGTCAGCTCGTTGGAGTTCGAAATAAATTTGAATTTTTTTATCTTCTCAGATGCATTTGGACATTTTTCATGTTATTACAAGAGAATGGTAAAGTGATAAATTTAAGCTCTAATTTTTGCAGGCATGTATTTCCTTATGCATTATCATCACACTTGCCTTTTAAACTGTCATGCATTAGTCATAAGTACTTTTCTTATTCTTTACCCTGAACATCTGTCCGTATGTATCCTCAAATTAACAATGCAAAGTGTCTCTTGTAATCCAAAGCTGCTTCGTTATTTATTGTACTAGTGGATAAACCGGTTAGTTTAATTGTTTGCATCTTGGTATATTTAAATATTCTCTCCTTTCAGCTAGTCTAAAAGAAGAGCGTTCCTGAAACACATACAGCCGCTGTATGTGGTTTTAATGGTTAATTGGGCAATTGTTCCACCTTAACCTTAAGAGCAATGTGGCAATAGTATGGAGTCTGGCTACAGTACCTTAGTCGTGATCTGTTGGTTTTATACAATCATAGTAGAGATGAAGGTCGCTGACTCCATCAAACCACAAGAATAAGTTGTAGTCTGGAAATGCTACATTTATTCACTGTATAGTAAATATTACCCTGAAACATGAGTGTCTGTTGCACCTAGAAAACAAAACATTTTTATTTATTTATTTACAGGCTAACTAAATCCCATGTACACTATTAATGATGGTGCAACCCACTGAAACAAGCACCTTCTAAGAGACCAGTTTTGTTTCCAGTACACAGCTGAAGCAACCAGACGGTGCCCTCCACTCTTTCCTTCACATCTGCCATGCAGATCTTCTCTCTCCAAGCCAAAGAGTGGCAGCAGAGCGACTACTGTTGCAGTTTCAGGGCTGCACTACCCCTTGCAGCCATTTTGCCTCCTTTTGCAGGGCCCCAAATTAACAACCAAACACCTAGGCAGAGAACATCCACTGAGCTGTGCTCTGCAGTATAGGGGTGGTGGAGGGCTAAGGAAGAACCTTTTACGCAGACAACAGGAAACCTGCCTCTCCCAGGCTCTGGAACCAGTTTTGGGGGGAGGAGCAAGGTTCTGGATTTTCCCCAAGGAGAACAGACTTGTTAATGTATTTTCTATAGACTTCGATCACATAGTGGGCCAGACTCCTCTGCTGCATATCATCACTCTATAGCAGTTACATTTTAAAACATCAGTTTGGAGATTGTGCAGTGATGTAATAAGGTGAATGTTCATTTATGTCTTCTGCAAACCTGTGATGCATTTTTCATCTCTCCATCCTTTTTTTTAGAATAACGTTATTAAAAGATGGAGGCCTAAGCCTAGCTAATGTGACTAAATTAGATGCTGGAAGTTACTCTTGCCTGGCAGAGAATCAGTTTGGAACAGCTAGTAGCACAACAAGCTTAATAGTTACAGGTATGTTTGGGGTTTTTTAATAAGATTATTTGAAATGGCTCTGAATTGCAATAAGTCCAGCAAGTAGAACCCACAAGAAGCATAGGAGTTCAACATTTGGGCTGTAGTGGGTTTATTGTGTGTGAATGGAGGTAAAGGGTCTGAGGAGTTGTATGTTTAAAAATACTTAAATAAAAAGAGATAAGTTCTGGTTCTTTTTTAAATTTAATGGGGAAATCTCTCATCTATATTGTGAAATAGTTCCTAGACCAGGGCACTTGGAGTAAGGTCATCTGGATACTACTACTGGCTTGCACACTGACTCACTGTATAATCTAGGGCAAAAAATTAAACCATGCTTCCTCAGTTTGGCTATCTGTAAAATGGGTCTATTTTTACTTTCAGAGTTAACTGGTGTTTGTAAAGCACTTTGAGATTGACAGATTAATCGCTAAAATTACCACATTCTGTACTTGCTTGACACGTAGATCTTCCACTAATAATGCAAAAAGAATGCAGGAAAATCCAACAAAAATCCACAGTATGGATCAGAGAGGAAGATTTTTCCTTTAATTATTAGCAATATTAGATTTTCTATAGAACTGTACTTTTTTGTGTGCATTGCAATTTGTTGAGCACTATAAACTACGCAGCAGGTCACATTCTACTCGGAGCCACAAGGAACTCCTATTGAGGTTAATAAGCTCTCACAATACTTCAGGAACAGAATTCGATCAATAATATTTACAATATAGAATTTGACTAACCTAAAGTGACTGCCACTGGTCAAGTGCATCTTATAGAATGTGAATGTTTAAAGAAAGGTGGGATAACTGCTGAGATGGCTAAAATGACTATTTCTGCTCTCCATAGAGCCAACAAGGATAACTGTGGCACCTTCAAACATGGATGTGACTGTTGGAGAGAGTGTAATCTTGCCGTGCCAAGTTCAGCATGATCCATTGCTAGACATTGGCTTCGCGTGGTATTTGAATGGAACGCTCACCGATTTCAAAAGAGATGCTTCTCATTTTGAGAAAGTAGGTGGGGTAAGTTGTGAACGTTTGTTTCTATGATTATAGGTGCATGTATCTTAAAGACAAGGTTGACTTAAAAGAGCGAAAATGTTGCACGCTTTGTGACTTCAGTTTTTTGTTTTGTTTTTGTTTGTTAAAATTTAACATGGTAGCCAAAATACAACCAGATCTTCTCTTCTTATGGTACGTCTACACTGCAGCTGGGTGTATGCTTCCCACCTTGGGTAGACAGATGCATGCTAGTTCTGCTTAAGCCAGCACACTAAAAATAGCAGTGTAGCTAGAGGTTTCAGTTGCCAGCTCAGGCTCGCCAGCTGAGAACAAACCCACCTGGGCTCCTTGGACGCATACTTGGTTGGCTAGCCTGAGTCCCCATCTGTGCTGCCCCCAGCTACACTGCTATTTTTAGCATCCCAGCTTGAGAAGAGCTAACGTGTCCGTCTACCCCAGCTGGGAAGTCCACTCCCAGCTGCAGGGTAAACATACCCGTAGTATTGTAGAATTGCCTTCCCCAAAGGAGATCAGTTGTTCAGAATTACAGACACAGAGCTTGCTGCTGTACATATTCCATAATACAGATATTAGATACCTGAAGCCCAATAATACAAAAGAATTAAAAATGTAAGAAAGTTACTTACACCTCACAACCACAATATCTCTTTGAACCATAGGTGAGGATCCAGATAAATTGAAAACAAGTTGTTTGCTGCCACGCAGAAATCTGTTTAAATAGATACTTCATGAGATGTATCCCATATTCTTTGCAGTGTTTGCATTCCTCAATGGTGCACAACGTTGATGTTTTAGTCTCTGCCACAGTCAACCACAAATTGACTTAACCATCAAATATGTTTTTTCTAAACAATATCACTTTGATTCATACCTATAAATACTGAAGTCTCCATTAATAAGCATCAGAGAGGGCTCCTTTTATCCTGACCGTACGCTGTCCGCTTAAGAGAGAGCAATATCAGAGTCAGATGCATCAACTGTGTGGTTCTACAAAGTAAGACTGGTAAGAAGTTTGTGTGAACCTTGTGTCGAGTTTGTCTGTGTAGATTTGTACCACCCCAAATTTCACTCCAAGGTTTGGGTTTAAACCCACACAAAGTTTTAACATAACTGTTACAAGAGATCTCTATACCTGTATATAGGTAAATAATTAGGGTGCTAGAAGAGAGATACTCAAGAATATGTAGCAGAGTTCCTGCATTTTGTAGGACTGATAAAATTTGCTGTGCACTGCGAATGGCTTCCTCTGTGTAGCTCTCTACATCAGCTCTTAATAAAAATTGCTAAGTGTCACCTGGTTTTGCATCCAAACACTATGCAATGGCATTACATAGTTTCAAAGGAAAATTCATACATGGGTTCAAGATGATTGGAAGGTTTGTGTAAGCCTTGGAGACCCCTTTGATAAATCTGAAGGGCATTTCAAATGTGTAACTGTCAAATCTTCATATCCCCAAAAGAACTAAAAGAGGATTTAAACACCTCTCCATCCCAGGCAAAGGCAACAGTTATCAGCTTGAGCTCCCTTCAAGACTAAAGCCGGAATGTGCAAATTACTGCCCCAGTATCTCGTATAGGGGAGGACCATTCATTCCTTCATCAGTACAGACTAAAGCATGACATAAATCCAGGATGATCTTTTCAAAGCTATGTCTATGCTGGGCCATGTTATAAACATAGCAGACAGTATAAGACCCCATGTCATCTGAATATTTTGGCCTAATTTGAAATCATTTATTTGAATGATACAGGTATGTAAATAAGAAAAAGTTTGATAGATTAAATAGATTAAAAGTTTGAGGCCAGATTCTCAGCTGGTGTAAATTGGCATAGCTTCATTGTAGTCAATGGTGCTATACTGATTTACACCAGCTGAGTATCTGGCCCGTGTAAGCTGTTTCTAAAGACTCAATGTAGTTAATTGTCTGAGCGCTCATGTTCTCCAGTGCTCCTCCTAATGTATGGTTCTTCACCACTCCCTGCTCAGGGCTGTGTCACAAAAGCCACAATCTGGGCTTCTAATTAAGACATTCGGCTCTTGTAAAATACTTGTCTATATTTTCAGACACTCGCTGAATTGTGTCAGTCTCTGAACGTCATGCTTTCTGTCTAGTTAGCAAAATGGTTGGTTGATTACAGTGAATGAGCAAACTTGGCTTCTAAAATTTTAAGCTTCCAGACTCTAAAAAACAAAAGAGGATTGCTTCATTTTTGGATGACTTCTATATAAAATCAGGTGTTTTATTTAGTTTTTAGTCACACACATGGGAAAAGCTCCAGGTTTTCCCTTTCACTGCTCGAAGCTTACTTTTCTGTTTGTTATAATAACTGGGGGTCTCCCACATCCTGGACACTGGGCTAAAAGTTATGAGTGAGCTCGCTCTCTTTCTCCTCCACTCCCAGCTTCTTACAAAAATGACGTAGGTACCTAATGCCAAGAGAGGGTTTCTAGCTGAGAATCCCAAGCAGAGGGAGGCACCTTCCCCGAGAAGGGCAGGGCTTAGGAAACACCCCTTGCCTTGGCATCTCCCATTGGCTATTTTAGGTGGGGAGCTGCCTAGCATGCTGGCTTTTGTGAATCCCATTCTGAGTCACCTATCTCTCCTCATTCATTGTATAGAGCGCGTAGATGCCTTACTCAAGTTTGTGAATCCCAGTGATATTCTAGGCGCCCAAGGCGTCTACATAGCATTTAAACACCTGCAGGTGGTTCGTGTCAGCTGACTTGAGCTTGTGGGGTTTGGGCTGCAGTGTTGTAAAATTGCAGTCTAGCGGTTCGGGATCTGGAGCCCGGGATCTGGAACTCTCCCCTGTCACAGAGCCCATCCCCAGCCTGAGCCTAAATGTCTAGACTGTGATTTTACAGCCCCATAGCCTGAGCCCTGCGAGCCCGAGTCAGCTGACTTGGGCCAGCTGTGGGTGTATAACTGCACTGTAGATGTACCCAGAGTGACTTGCCTGAGGTCACACATGCAGCCTGTGGCAGCGCCAGGAACTGAACTCAGATCTCCTGAGCCTCAGTCCATTGCCAAGGTCATCCTTCCTCCCTTATTTTTCCTATGTCTGTTTGTCTAATGTATTTATAGTGTGGCCATCACCATACCATCAAGATCTTTATGTGTGAAGGAGAGTGGTTGTGTCCATTAGTAAATATTTTTATAATAAATGCTATTTAAGACAATGCAATGCATTTAAAAGGTTGTTTTTTTTAAATACTCTTTGGAATATCCATTTAATCCAAGCATGAAAGGTAAAGTTTGCTATAACTGCCAAAGCCAAGTGGTTGTAGACAGCCCACTTAGCCTCAGCAGGTAACATTGGCCTCTCGGTAGGTTTATTAAAGTTCCGTTTCCTACAACTCTGCCTTCTTGCTGATGAAACCAATGACCAGTTAGGTGTCCGACTCCCATTGAAAGTTAATGGAATTTAGGTGCCTAACTGCCCTTTTGTGCCTTTGAAAATCTTCTCAAGAGGCATAGCATTTAATCAGTGGACATGAAAGAGGATCCATATACATATTGGCACGTGATTAAATGCAATTGCATTCAAGAGAAATTAGGTTTCTTTTGGAGAGCAAAGAGACTTTTGTAGATCTTATAATTTTTTATAAAAATCTTTCTGGAAATTTGAGCTGACCATCTGTCATGTCCCAATGTGAATCCTCTGATTTCACAGCCTGTTACCTTGCCATGTTGCTGCATAGTTATTATTTATTTACTACGTTTCAAATAAAGTACCTAAACAGGCTCTACATAAACATAATAAAATTACAAGGGAAAGGTTAACTATCGTTGATAAAAGGATCTCTTCCAATATACGTGACTTCAGTGGTAGATATGAACTGGTTGGAAAACTGATTTTTTTTTTCCAGTGAAAATTTCAACCTTTCGTCAAAAAAGATAAATCAAGAATCCAAAGTTTTTGATCAAAAAACCAGCTGAAAAGTTTTTGCTTTTCAGGAAAAAGTCAAAATTTTCAATGGAAGGCAACTTTCTTTATTTTTTTTCACTGTGTTGAACATCCAGTTTTCCATCAAAAAACAGTTTCGATGGAAAATTTTCAGTCAGCCCTATTCAGCACCTCTCAGGACTCATCCCAGTGATTCTTCATTGGCTAACCCACAAGTCTAAAAGATATAGCTTTTTACTGGAATATTTGCCATAAAGAAACAACAGCTGAGGGTATGTATAGGAAACAGGAGCCTTGTCATTAATGTTTGGACAAGGTGGGGTACTGGTGCTCTGCTAACTGGAGACTACAGAAGTTAACCACAAGACAAACTAAAATACCTTAGGGGCCCAATCCAGCTCCCACTGAATTCAATGGAAAGACTTCAGAGGGAGTTGGATAGGGCCCTTAGTGAGCAAATGAGTCAGAATACTGATTTATAAAGTGTCTGATGGCGTATTCGTACACTTGAAGTTCATATTCCCCAATAATAATAGGGGATTTCAACTGGAAACACGTCACCTCAGATTCGTATGCAGAGATAAAATTTCAATACAACATTAATGACTGCCTCTTGGAGCAGCTAATCCTGGAGAGGCAATTTTTTATTGAATCCTAAGTGGCACATAGGATCTGGTCTAGCTGAACTACTCAGTAATAGGGACCATAACGGAATGAAATTAAACATCCTTGTAGGGGGTAAAATACCAAGGAAACCCACTCTGGTAGCATTTAATTTCAGAAAGGGGGGTGACACAAAAATAAGGAGGCTAGTTAGACGGACATTACAAGGAACAGTCATAGGAGTGAAATGTTTGCAAGCTACATGGACATTTTTTAAAACACCATAATAGAGGCTCAAACTCTATGCATAGCTCAAATAAAAAAAAAGTAAGCTTACCAAAAAAATGCCACCATGGCTTAACAGAGTAAAAGAGGCAGTTACAGACAAAAAGACACCTTTTAAAAATTGGAAGTCAGATCCTACTGAGGAAAATAGAAAGGAACATAAAGTCTAGTAAGTCAAGTGTAAAAGGGATAATTAGGCAGGC